TTAATCAAACTTTTTCTGACATTTCTACTTTAGTTTCTTTTGGTTTATTAACTATTTGGCAGTATATTGTTCAATTTCTAAAGATCTGGAAATTGTCTAAATTTTTGACTGTTATATTTAGTTTAATTCCATTGTGATATCAAAATATGCTGAATTATTTTTAAAAACTTTAGACTTGTAAATATTCAGCATATATTTTAAAAGAATAGCACCAGTTCATATTAATCAGAATTTGGCTTTTAACTATGTCTTTAAAATACATCATTATTTTAACATAATTTATTTAGTCTAAAAGTTGTTTTGACATGTAGAATCATCTCGATTAATTGATATTTTTACTTATGAAATGTTCTTTTTTCCATAATAACGTTTTTTTAAGTCTGCTTTTTCAGATATTAATGTACTATACCAACTTTCTTTTTAAATATTTCATACCTTAGGATTTATTTCTATGCTATTATGTGTTTAAATTAGAGGCATCTCCTATAAATATTCTATAATGTATAAAATTGAATATTACTTTATTTTTCTATTTTAATTAGAAAACAAGAGTTCACTTATAGTTAAAGAAATTAATTTTTCAATTTTGGTTTAAAGTTAAAATTTAACACCCTTTCCAACCCAATTTTTAGACTAAATAAATTATGTTAAAATAATGATGTATTTTAAAGACATAGTTAAAAGCCAAATTCTGATTAATATGAACTGGTGTTATTCTTTTAAGATATATGCTGAATATTTACAAGTCTAAAGTTTTTAAAAATAATTTAGCATATTTTGATATCACAGTGGAATTAAACTAAATATAACAGTCAAAAATTTAGACAATTTTTGTCTAAATTTCCTACCCTACTTTTTGGTCAGGGACTGCAATGACTCAAGACAGGTTCAGGATTGTCTGATTTTGTTGGAATATTTTTGTTTGTGTACTTGAGTGGATTAAGGTTTTCTTACTCCAAAAGATTCCTGAGGTTTCAGTTATCATCCAGAAACCAGAACTTCTTCTATTTGATGGATGTTGAAGCTGTCACTCTGATAGTACCAAAAATACACTTCTCATCTTAGGGTCTTCGTTATTGTTTCTTCCTAGAACTTGTGTACCCTACAGTTTAGAAATCTATGACTCCTTGAGAGGAAGATATCACAACATTCACCTCATTTTCTGCATTTTCCTTTCACTGGCTCTTTCTGGCTTCTCGACACTCCATGATATTTATTTTTGTTCCTTTAACTTCATGGGATTGTCAAAAGCTGAGAGACACTATCTTCTCAACCATTTATCCTGTATAGCTTCGACTTCAAAGGGAAAAGTAGAGACAATTGGGTTCTTACTTGGCCTTACTCCCTTCTCTCTTGAATTTTTGGTTCTTGAGTTGTAGCTACCTATGTTAGTTACTTTTCCCTTATTGTTGAGGCAAAATATACAACAGCTACAAGTTATAGAAGGAAATATTTTTGTAAGTGACAGTTTATAGTGGTCTCACTCCATACTTCTTCCTCATTCAAGGTAGGGTGGCATGACAGAAGGGCATCCATTTATGGCAGCAGAAGATAGCAAAAGTAACAAGAGAGTTTAACAGCATCTTTCTGCACTTTTTATCTTATGCAAATTGCTGGAATTAGGGCACTCCTATACCAATGTGCGTAGTGATTAAATAATCACATACTCTTAATCCCAGCATCATACAATCTAGATTCAGCCACCTCTGAAAAAGCCCTATGACTGCCTGCAGCTTTAGAGGTATGCTGAGACAAAAATCCTAACATGCCTGAGTCATATTCCAATCCCTTTCTAACAGTTGTTTTGTTTTTTATTTATACTTTTATGTAGCTGTGTAAGTAGATCAATACAGTCCAATATAAGACATTCTGTTAAAGCTGGAAGTGAAACTTCTTTAATTTGTGATTTTGATATCAATTTTATATAGACTTTTTTGTGTAACTTTCATGAGTAGGAATTCTTGTTAGTTTGTGTACTAACAGTACATTGGTACTAGTTAAAATGAAGAATAATAAAATATATAAGTAAGTCTTGCAAAGTAATGTAAAAATAAGGATTCAGGTTTTTTTGGAAAAATTGGGATATTATATCATATTCTAGTGTTCCTTTAGAATCAATCTTACATCTAATCTAAACTATAATTGCAAAATATCCATAGAATAGAAAGTAATGATTTCATTTCTAATGCTCACTTTTTTTTTTAGTTGTATTTTTTTCTCTTTAGTAGTGATTCTAATTCTTATCATCAAGCCAGCATCTTGTCCATAATACAATCATGTTGAAACCATATTGTGGTTAAGAATCAGTGCTGAGGACCTGTACTTTTTCCCTTTCATAACCTCTATCTTGCTTTTCTGTCAGGACGCCCTGGATGCCAGTATTCAGAGCTTTCAGCAAGAACAGCTTTCTAAGATAACTGACCTTAAGGACCAACTGGTAGCTGGTCAGCACAGCCAGGCAAAAGCCATTGAGGAGCGCCACGCTGCCCTGCTGAAGCGCTGGCAGCAGCTGTTAGAACTGGCTGCAGCCCACAGACAGGAACTGATAGAGAAGCAGCTGCCTCTACAGCAGGTAAGAAGAAGGAAACAGGAAGCATAATGTGGCCTCTGTTAGCCAGATACGAGTCATGAAATTCACAAATAGATGCTGGAAACCTTGCTTGGAAAAATCTACAGGTAGTTTGGAGCACTGAAAAGAACCAAGAAGATATTCTCACTGAGCAAAAAGGAGTTCATGTTCTGTAGATTTATAAGTTTTTGTTTGTTTGTAATTTTTTTCTACTGAAAATTGAAATTAGGACTTTACACATACTTACCAAACACTCTGCCATTGTACTTCATTGCCATCCATCCATTTATTTATTTATTTAATTATTATTACTTTTTTAAATTTTAAGACAGGTTCTCACTAAGCTGTCCAGGTAGGCCTTAAATTTTCAATCCCTCTGCTTCAATCTCTCCTCACAAGTAGCTAGGATTACAGGCAGGCAATACTATGTCTAGCATTGAAGGATTTTTAAAAATGAACTGAGTTGAAATAGGCACCAGACACACTAGTGGGAAAAGGGGACAGAACAAATCAGTGAGAAGCCTGTGCGTATGATAAAATGCAGGCGGGAAAGATTTAAGTCTTCTTTTGTACTTTAATATAGGTAACTTAAAAGGAGCACTCTACAGGTAGCCAGAAAGTTTTTTTTTTTCCCCCAATATTCTCTTGAATTGACTTTCTTGGGTGAGAAACTGCATGTGTCACTTAAGGTGTTGAACCTTGCTTCTGTTAAGAAATACAACAGTGTAGCCATATTGCTTTTCTCTGCTTTTACTATTAAAAGAGATAACAGATATAAAACTGGCAACATCAATAACCAAGTTCTAAAACTGCAGTATAAGTGTATTGTATGAGTTGTAACCCAAAAATCAAAAACTGGACTCAACTTAAAAGCGCTTTATTTAACTGAGCTCAGCAGCGATACGTGCTCTCATCTCTAAGTAGGTGCGCGTGGAGGTAGGGAGAGACAAGGGTTTTTAAGGCTGAAAACTGCAAAGGGGAGGTCTTGTGACTTGAGCAGGAGGGAATGCAGCACAGGGGTCAATGTACACTTATGGGAAACTGGTTACATTCTTTCAACATGCAGTTACAATTTTCAGGAACAAACAATTAAATTTTATGGCATGGTGTTGATCAGGGATGTCACAAGTTGGATATTGAGATAATTTTGGGAATGGGGGTTATATCCTAGAACAAATAATCATTACCTTAGGATATGGGGGATGATCACAGGATACATTGTGCAGATTGCTTTTAACAGTCCGTGGTTAAGAACAAAGGAATAGTTTGAGCATTAACAAACTGTGTTCAGAGGTCCAAAGGATGGCTTGAGCCACCAAGATGAAGTTTAAGTTGTCAGCTTATAACAAACAGATCTCGATAACAAGGTCACAGTGGAAGCGTACAGAGATGTATAACAAAATAGCTGTTCTAGTTACAAAATGGAGATGGTTACATAGGTTATAACACTATGTAGATATAAGTGAACAAAATTTTCTCTTTAAGGATGGTGCTAAGACGTTGGATGTTGACCACACAGCTTATTCATAATTAAAAGAAATCAGATTGGCCAGTGTACATGATATAGGGAACCTCCAAATGACACAGGGAGAAAAACCGATCTCAAGTAGATGACCTCCAAATGATATAGGGGAAAAATGATCTCCCAACCTAAAAAGTACTTGGAACGAATTCATGTTCTCTAAAACCAAAGAATGAATTTTAAGAACAAATGGAGGTTATGAGCAGAATATATTTATTGGGGGAAATACAGCTCCTGTACGAGAGAGGGACAGAAGTGGGCCCCAGGGGGTTGTCCCTGGGAACCTGTTTCTTCCAGGGACTTTTATAGAGTAAAACCACGTGGCAAGGTGGGTCTAAGGTGCATGAACATGGGAACTCACTTAGGTGGTCATGAAGTGGGACAAAACTATGGTCAACCAATGAGATTACAAGCACCATTGCTCAGTTAAAATTGATTTAATCCAGTACCAAATGAGGAAGTGAGTCAAGTAGCAAGCAAGCATGAATATGGGACAGGGTCTCTTCCTGTTGGGGGTTGGGTTAGTGACTCATTTGGGATCTTTCAAGGTGATTGATACCTATTTAGAATATCAATCCCTGATGCGCATCCCTTGGGAAATATGTGGCTGTATTTGTTTACTCTTTGTCTTGAGGTCTGGCCCATGGCTGGGAGGGTCTATTTCTTCCAGAGTTGCAGTCACTTTGACCTGCCTATAATATTTTTTATCTAATTTAGTTTCTTACAACATTCCTCTCTCTGAAGAAGTAAACCGAACTGCCATGAGGGAACCATGAGCAATGACCACTAGCATTATTTTGTCTTTAAAAATGCAAAACCATCAAGCTGTCAGGTTCCACACATATATTCTACAGAGGAAGTTCTTTCCATTTTCTGTTTTGCTTAGTTTTCAAACTGCTAAAGGGTTGGAAGATTTTTTATTATAAAATAACTGTAAAATATTCAAGCAATCCATGATATTCTGAAACTGACATGAAGTCTTTTATAAGTGCATTCTCCTTGAGTAAAGTTCATGTTAATTTTCTCTGTATTTATTGTACTTCAGCATATAGATCAGTGAAGCTAATATATAGTAAAAGGTAATGTTTGATGCCTTTGCATTCTTTCTATATTTAGATGAAATTTTTTTCTTTACAACTCACATTTTTTGGGGGGTGGGAGAGAAAATTCATTTTTTCCCTCCAGACAAATCTTACAAATACAATCTGCTAACCCAAAATCTATGATGAATTTTATTTTATAATTTGATTTTAATTTTTTAAATATTTTCTGTATTTATTTATTTGGTACAGGGTATCACTACGTAGCTCAGATTTGTAGTGATCCTCCTGTCTCATCCTCTGCAGAGCTAGGATTAAAGATGTGCACCACCTTGCCTGGTTTTTGTGGCTGGTTCAGTGCAGGGCTGGCACAGCATGTCGTACCAGGTATCAAACTTGGGTCCTTGTACTTGCCAGGCAGGCACTTAGACTGTAGAGCTATCTGCCAGCCTTATGATTAATTTTAAATCTTAAATTTTTCTGTTTATGTGATGTACCAAAAAATACATGTCTCTCCTCTCTTTTGATAAAATAGATGATATAGAGTCCTTCTGAGTATGTGGATGGTTCCAAGCAATAATATAGACACATGTGGATCCATAATAAGAATATAGGTCACAGTGTAGGAAATGGATTAGGGAGTGGTTTGAAAAATTTCAGGAATGAGATGAGACTTGAATAATATTCAAAAACAAATCAGGAAAATTACTTAGTGTAGACCAAGAGATGACAGTAGGCTTTGGCCTGCAGAAAATTTGATGAAAGAGGAACAGAAAAAAAGGGGAAAAAAAAGATAAAACAAAACCATTTGGTTTGTTCATTCAATCATTTTCCATTTTTTCATTTGACAAATATCTTAATCCCTTTCTTGCCTATGGAACGAATAGTAGGATACCCACAAATTGAGAGAGTGAGGTTTATTTTCACTCATGATTGCAGTCTCTGACTGACTTGCTCCAAGATAGATACAGTGGAACAGCCTCCCTGCTTGTGTGATGATAGGCAGGAAGCAGAGACAAAAGGGAGGAGCTGGGAAGGGAGATACAAAGTATTAACTCAGGCCAAACAAGTCTTTCTCATAAGAGCACAGTTAACACTGAACGGATCCAGTGATTAAGCCAGTGATCAGTACAACACCTCATGTCTCAATCCCCTTCCAAAAGCCTGACCTCTGAACCAATGAGTCTTTGGGAGATATTTCAGAAGCATAGCATAATAACACCTATGTCTACACACTTATTATAAGCAAGGTAGTACTAGAACAAGGACTATAGAATAAGAAATCACACAATTGAAAAATACGCCTGATACACGTTAGAACTTATAAATGAAGTAAGTTTAGAAGTTAGTTCCTCTTTTCTTTTGTCAACAAGGGAAGGCTTGACTAATTTCACACAATGGTGGAATCCTAAAACCAGAGCTGTTCTTGTAACTTAAAGATCCATCTGTAGGTTCCCATGGTCCCCACTGATTTTAGTTTTACCGTTTTAGAGTTCTGGCCTGCAGTTATTTCAAAAGAGCCATGATTTTTACCTTGTCTTCTGCAGAGGACCTTTTCCAGGACAGATAATGGCATCTTCTCTTTTCTCTGAAGGCTGAGGAGCTGTTCATGGAGTTTGCAAACAAGGCATCAGCTTTCAACAACTGGTGTGAGAATGCGGAGGAGGATCTGTCAGAGCCTGTGCACTGCGTCTCCCTCAATGAGGTCCGGCAGCTGCAGAAGGACCATGAGGCCTTTGTGGCCTCCATGGCTGGGCCTCAAGAAGACTTCAAACATTTGCTAGAGCTTGACCAGAGGATCAAGGCCTTAAATGTCCCCTCCAGTCCTTACACCTGGCTAACGGTGGAGGTGCTGGAAAGGGTCTGGAAACACTTGTCTGAGGTCATTCAGGTAATTAATTCATGACCAACAGAGATTGTGGTCTACAGTGAGCCTGACTGCTTAATTCATTGCCCACACTTGGGAACTTGTGGGAAAGATACGAAGATTGTTCATAATTATATCAAGACAGCAGTTGTCCAATGAGATTGTGTAGGAAGCATTAAGAATTATTGTACCTATGTCACAATATGTACTCCTCATTCCCCACAATGTAGATAGGGCTATATTTCTATGATTCAACAAAAAAAAAACAAGCTCAAAATGTGGTTTCAATCATGATAAAAAAATGCACAAATGCTATGTACCTTCTCATCCAAGATATGCCTTGTTTTATATGCATCTCCTAGGTGCCTTTTATGTGTTTATTTTTATTTTATATCTATTTACAATATTTAATATTGAAAATAAGAAATATTTTCCAAAAAGATTAACAAAAAATTGCTATGTTACCATCTTTTTCCAACAACACATATTACTTACTGCTTTTTCCTTTAGGTCAGCTTATGTATGTCTTTACATTACATATTACTGTCTCCCCCAGTCAGAGCGAAGGGACTGTGTTTATTACCAGTTTACTTGTTACTGGACTTAGTCTTAAATACTCTCTAAGTACTTACAGAGAATGATATGGAATATCTTCACATATTCGAAGAAGTGGTGGGCTAGATGAAATATGAACACTTAGGCACATTCATGCTGAAGGTACATCATATCTAGGAGAGAGATATTTAGTTGACACTACAAATTGGTTTTTTTATGTCAAAGAAGAACCTTCATTGTGAGCCCTCCTGTCTGTGGTTTGGAATTTTAGGAACGGGAGCAAGAGCTGCAAAAAGAAGAGGAAAGGCAAGTCAAGAACTTCGAAATGTGCCAAGAGTTTGAACAGAATGCCAGTACCTTCCTGCAGTGGATCCAGGAGAACAGGTTTACTGGGCTTCCTCCAAACCCATGGCCCTTATGCCATGCACACTATTTGCCAAAGGGGTGACATACATAGCTGAGGGGAGTGGGTAGACTTTCACACATCACTCTGTTGCCAAAACACATCTTCACTGTGCTTCTACTTGGACTTGACTGCTCTCTAGGTCACTCTTTCCAAAATCATGAAATGGAAATTTTATGCCACTGCTTATTTTAGAACTGTCGCTGTTCTGATCTTAACACTCACATTTTTCCTTCTGTTGTCATGATCATAATTCAAAATAATAATCATCTTTATGTTTGATGCTACATTGCACTCTAAAGGTGTTACACCTTCATTTTATTACTTTACTTTGAAAAGTTCACAGAGCTCATCTTATTTCCTCTGTTTCCAAATGTGTGGGCAAAGAAAGTTGATAAATTGACTTGATGAGTGTATTTACTAGCATAGCCAGAAACAGAATTTAGTGGGAACACCTAATATGAGGTTATTATGTTGCCTACCTAGTAAAGCTGTAATGAAATTAAAGTGAGATAACATAGATCAATTGCTCTCATCTGCTGCAAAATATTCTGTACATGATGGCAACTTTTGGCACTTTTCCTGGTAAATGATTTGAAATAGAGGCTACATAGAGGAATGCAGTAGTGTGTGAGAACAGATGCTCAAGGGTATCAGAGTGTGTATCCTTTGTGGCGTTTGAAGAGTTAAACTGTTAGAAGTGTGAGATAAAGAGGGCTTATTACTGAAGCATGTGGTTGATGGACAAACCATGATATATACTCTTAATGCATACTCATTGATAAGGATAAACAAGACTGAATAAAATGAAGGGGCCAGGGTGATGGCTTAGTAGAATAACTGCTTCCCTGGCAAACTCAAGGGCCTGAGGTCAATCCCCGGTTCAAAAAAAAAAATACTGAATACAATGAAATCTTGCATCACATCTTTAAAAAAAAAAAATAACTGAAGTTAGCAGAAATCATATGTCTTCCCCTGTCTCTGGTTTTGGTCTGCTGTTGTACCTGACAGTGAGTCCTCAATTAGAGAACTTATCCTTTGCTCTCTTTTTTCTTCTGAAAGAAGCAAGTGCTTCATGGAAGGCCCTGAGCTTCTCAGAGTAGGTAAAACACTTGAGACCTGTGGGCAGGCTCATATTTTGTGGCTACAGAGGACTTAAAATCTAATGAAGAAAGTTCCACTGAGGTAAAACCTTGTTAACAAATCATTTTCCTTTTTTCCTTTCTGATGCCTGTTCCTGCCCTCCATTTCCAGGTCCTATTTTCTGGATGGGTAAATATTTCATTATCATTTCTCTTTTCTTATATTTTGTGAAAGTGTTAGAAAAAGGGGATTTATTACTGAGCTAGCACTATACCATCATGATGTGAGTGTGCTGAAAGAAAGAAGTCAGAAAACTCCAGTAAGTAGAGTGTTGCCTGTATTACTTAGTGTGCAAAACTTGCCTTAAGTATCCATTGGGTCTGAATCTTTGAATTTAATCACATATACATTGAGAAAAGTCAGAAAAAATGTGTCTGTATTGAAAATGTACAGTTTTTTCTTATTTTATTTCCTGAACAATAGAGTACAACCATTATTTATTTGCCATTTATATTGCATGAGATATTAAAAGTCAGTAATCTAGAGATGATATAGAGTACATAGGGGATATGTGTAGATTTATATAAATATTGTCTCATTTCATATAAGGGATCTGAGAATCCTCTATTTTAGTATCTGCAGTGTTACAAGAACCACTTACCTATGGATACCAAGCATAACTTTTATGGACAATAAAATGATAAGAGACATGTAAGGGACTTTCACTAGGCAGAGAAGGAATGGAGATAGGTTCTATTTCCCTTCCTGTGAATCTAGAAAGGTACTGAAGACAGAAGTGTTTGATTCAAAAATTTGTTTTTCTGAAATATCATTCCATAAGACCACATACCCAGCACATCTCAATTCCAATTGTACATACCTTACCCTTTTCTTTCTCCCCCATTCATCCCTTTATCCTCTTTGGTCTTGGAGAACTCCATACAAGGGATACAGGCATTGCATGCTGCAAATGTTTACAAAAAAAAAGAAGGGGATGAAAGGAAAGGGAACACAAAGAGGGAAGGAGGTGAACAAAGGAATTAAGACATGTTGTGTGCTTACAACAAATTCCCACAAGGAATACAAGTATTCTTTAATACACATATGTGCTAATAAGAGAAAATAATATAGAACAAAGACTATGTTATTTTTATAAAGTACAAAAAGAAATGTAAGAGTTTTCAGTTGGCACATAGATATGAAAGATTGAACTCTGATATTAGGAATAATGTTTCACTTTGCTTCTTAATTAGATCTTTGCCCAAAGAAACAGGAACCCTGGAGTCCCAACTAGAGGCAAATAAAGTAAGTAAATTTTGTTCATTAGTTGAAGACATTGCTAGAATTTTAAAAAGTGGCAAAAAAAACGACATAAGGGCAATTTGATGATGTTGTATGTAAATATCACCTGCAATAAAAAGCTAGACCTGTGGTGCTAACGCTCTTGCTCATTGACATGCTGAAGCACAGAGCACCACTTCATGGATACGGACTCTCCAGTTGTTTAAACCTTCTGAATTTTTCTTTGTGCATAAAATAGAGATAGACGTTGTATTATAGAGCCCCTGCAATTATCATGTAAGAGAGTAGATGTGGAAGTTTCCAGATTATAATGAGGAACAAATTTTACTTTTTATCTGAAGTGATAAAATATTATCATTCAATCTAGGTAATATCTGAACAATTTAGTACAAGGTAGTAGACCAATCAATCAAGGTTTGTCAATCTTGCTTTGAACATTATACTCTTTCAGAAGAAAAAAAAAGTCAAATACAATTTTGGCCTTATAAAAATAAAATAAGATGCCAAGTTGAGTTGATTTTTGGATGGCCACAATCCTTATAACATTTAAGGTTTTTTCACACATAACTTACTTTCAGCAGACTCAATTTTTCCCTGTTATCTTTGAGATACAGTACCTTCTCAATAGCACTAAAGAGCAGGATGTAAAAGTTTTGCTGTTTGTGTGCTTGATTGGCAGGAGCAGACTATTCATGTGTGTCTGAGCTGAGGAAGGAGGCCCAGGAGTGAACATTAGGGTGCTTAGATGAACTTTAGAACCCAGTCGCAATTCATGCTGTGGATAATTCACAATGCAGATCACAGAAAATAATGATACATCAGTCTTGGGAGGTTGACTCTTCTTCGTCTGCCTTATATTGCCACTCAGTCTTAAATTTACATCTTAGAGCATATGAGAGTTGCAGGGCTCTTCTCACCTAAATCTATCACTCTTTTATAAGTGAGGAAAACAGAAATGAAAAGGTTTTCCTCAGTTGTACTTTTCTCATAGAGGACAAGAATAACTCCAAAAAGAACTGAAAAGTAAACTTCTATTCAGCTTTTCTTCCTCTCCTCCCTCTAGGGGCCTGAATGACTGACTCTCTTCTCTTTCCAGAGGAAGCAGAAGGAGATTCAGGCAATGAAGCGCCAGCTAACCAAGATTGAGGACCTAGGTGACAGCATGGAGGAGGCTCTGATCCTTGACATAAAGTACAGCACCATTGGACTGGCCCAGCAGTGGGACCAGCTCCATGAGCTGGGAATGCGGATGCAGCACAACCTGGAGCAGCAGATCCAAGCCAAGTACTGAGCGTCCATAGCTGGGGTGGGGAGGGTTGCAGGGGTAGCAGGAGCACAAGTAAGAGCTAGGGTATGGGGTACTAGATAGAAGAACTGCCTCAGAGGCAGCTTACCTCCAAAGCCAACGTTGTCTCTCTCTACTGTCTCACAGAGAGTATTGCTCTTTGTACTGAGGTCTGTCATGAGATAAGAGAGGTGTCCCTCCCACTGATTCTGCTCTTCATCTGTCTGAACAAATGATTTCTCCATCCAATTCTCAGTGTCACTTTATCATTCTCTGTGCTCTTTTCAGAGAGTATCAGCTTTGTGAAAGTCCCATTCAGAATATAATATCTAGAATGCAAAAATCCTCAAACAATGGCCTAAAAGGCCAAAAGAACAGATATTATTTTTCCTAGGTATATTAATTATCCCAAAGCTGCTTTAGATATCAATAGGTTTGGACATCATTTTTTTTTCCTAGATCAGGAAGTGGGAATTTTTTTTCTGTAGATGTTCTGAATTAAAATAATTTAGTCTTTGTGAGTGATAAAATTTATGTTGACTGTTTACTTCTACCAACACAGTGAAAAATAGCCATAAACAATTTGTAAGTGGATAAGCATGCCTGCTACAATAAACCTTAATTTTCAGATACTAAAATTTGAATTGAATGTCATTTTGACATTCCCTGGAAATGTTATTTTAATTATTTTCAGAAACAACATATAAAAGCCGTGTATGGCTCATGAGCTGCATAGTGGCAGGTGATAAGGTGGGTTTGAACCACGGCATATAGATAACCAGTCTCTGAACAAGATGATAAAATATCATATTGTCTATCAACATTGTCCTATCTTTTCTGTGGCATAATTTTTGCTTTTCTGCTGTTTTATTTCCTGGTTAATTCAAGTTTTTCATTTCAGGGATACCATAGGTGTAAGTGAGGACACACTGAAGGAGTTTAGTACCACCTATAAGTGAGTATATTTTCTTTCTTTCTTTTTTTTTTTTTTTTTTTGGTGGAACCAGGGATTGAACCCTTGCGCTTGCCAGGGAAGCACTTATTCTACTGAGCTATCTCCCTGGCCCCTAGTGAGTATATTTTTATACTTAACTAGTTTTTCAATGCTTGGTCATTCAGAGTAAGTCAGTAAATAACTAGCATTTTTCTCCCTCTGTGTGCCTTCATGAGATCCTAAGTCAAAATCTACATATGTTTATTAGCTTTAGTTAAAAGCATAGTATTATAATTTATAGTATAACACATTAATAAATATTAAGATACTGTAATGTAATTCCCATGAGATTTTCAAAGATTAAAAATATATTTATTACTTGCTTAATGCTTTGTTTTTCCTTTTTTATATAAAGAAAAAGAAATGGAGAGATGCAGACAAGCTCAATACTCAGCTCTCTGATGTTATTATATGTTACTAATGCTGTAGCTGATAAAAGAACTATTTCTTTTTCTTATAATCAGATTCTCTCTTAAGTTTGATAACATGTTTTATTCTTAGGCATTTTGATGAGAATTTGACAGGGCGATTGACTCACAAAGAATTCCGATCCTGCCTGAGAGGACTCAATTACTACTTGCCCATGGTAGAAGAAGATGAACCTGAGCCCAAGTTTCAGAAGTTCTTGGATGCTGTGGATCCAGGGAGGTAAGAAGACCAGAAACTGATTGGAGCTTGGAAGGAGAGGTTCAGAGAATAAAGTGGTCCATAAAATCTGAAATTCATTGATTCAAAAAATAGGGTAATACAGGCAATCATAAGTGAATAGGGCATTGCTTGGTATTTTTTCAAGATTATCTCAGAAGTAAACGGCACCAACTCTACCTCAGAAACTAGATTTGCAAGTTCCGTGATTCATGACTTATCTTTGATCTATGAATTTAGCTGATTCTGAGGATAAGACTCGAGAGAAGAAATCATTTCATAAATGTCAAATTTTAAGGACACCTGGACAGCTAAAAATGGTAATATATTGAGTTGTTTGCATTTGTGAAGGTGTGAAAGAGTTACAGATAGATCAAGTTGGTCTTTAGGGATAATTTTTATAACAAAGACACAAGAACACTTGAATTATTTAGGTATCCAGAAACTTGCCCTAATGAGAAGATGGAAAATTCCAAAACTCTTGAAGAAAACCAAACCAGAAGCTGACTCTAAAGTTTGGGAAACCGTGTTTATTGGCAGAGAGAGACAGAAAGAGAGGGAGGGAGGGGAGAGAGAGAAAGAGAGAGAGAGAGAGAGAGAGAGAGAGAGAGAGAGAGAGAGAGAGAGAGAATGCAGCATAACCAAGTCTCAAGCAGCTTATTTGAAAGAGAACACAGAGAATCAATCCATCTTCCCTTGGCCTCTCAGACACCTTATAGGATGGGAATGACGTTTTGTCTTGAGAAAGCACAGCTCCTATATTTCTCACACAGGAAGGGCTATGTCTCACTGGAAGACTACACATCATTCCTGATTGACAAGGAGTCAGAAAATATCAAGACCAGCGATGACATAGAGAGTGCTTTCCAGGCCTTGGCGGAGGGGAAGTCTTACATTACCAAAGATGATCTGAAACAGGTCAGATTGTTTTGCTCTCACAATCTCAATTTAGTTGAGCCCATTCGTGGTTGTCTACTCTGAATACTCTCACACACTACAGAGATTTTTTTCTTCCTAACACCTTTCCTTTGCAGGATTTCATTTGTTTTGATTATTCTATTTTGTCTTTTTTTTTTTTTTTTTTTTTTTTTTTTGGCAGAACCGGGAATTGAACTCAGGCCCTTGCACTTGCCAGGGAAGTGCTTATTCCACTGAGCCATCTCCCCGGCCCTCTGTTTTGTCTTGATACAGCTTAGAAACCTATAGTGACTCTTTATTGACTTTCAGAGTCAATTCAAAACATATGACTTGGCTTTTAAGACCATTTTTACCCCTCTACTTTCTTTGACCTTTAAGATAATTTAGGGAAAGAGAAATATAGGATAGTCAAAGTGAATTAGAGAGTCCCAGCCCAGGCGCAGCGTGGGCCAGACCCTCTCCCAGCCCCTCGGGCCGCCCCCCACCACTCCGCAGTGCCTCCCCCACCCTGCCCTCCGAGTAGGATTTTCTGCCCAGTTCCGGGAGCCCCCAGACCCAGTCCTAGCCCAGGTCCGGTGAGTGTGTGGAGAGTTTCCTGCTACCCTACGCCGGCAGGAACAGTCCCAGCCCAGGCGCAGCGTGGGCTGGACCCTCTCCCAGCCCCTCGGGCCACTCCCCACCACTACTCAGTGCCTCCCCAACCCCCGCCTGCCGAGTAGGATTTTCTGCCGAGTTCCGGGAGCCCCCAGACCCAGTCCTAGCCCAGGTCCGGTGAGTGTGCGGAGAGTTTCCTGCACCCTGCACCGGCAGGACCAGTCCCAGCCCAGGCGCAGCGTGGGCCGGACCCTCTCCCAGCCCCTCGGGCCACTCCCCACCACAACTCAGTGCCTCCCCCATCCCTCCCGCTCAGTAGGAATTTCTGCTGACTTCCGGGAACCCCCAGACCCAGTCCTAGCCCTGGTCCGCAGCAGGAAGGAGCTGAGCACAGCAGCCAGACCTAAGCCAGACACAGCTGGATAAGTCCAAACTCTGTAGATCTACACCTTAACTTCAGTAGGTGTGAAGGTTATAACTACAGCAAAGATCTACAACAAAGGGCAGAGGACAGTGCTACACAAAATGACGAGAAGGAACAAAATGCAACCTCAGAACACAAGCCCACCCGTAACAAGCGCAGAGGACACTAACACGGAAAAAATTGGAAAACACACAGCTGAAAGCAATGAATCAACAGCTTCTGAAATAAAACAGCTACAGAAAGATATAGAAGACCTCAGATTGGAAATGAAAAAAGAAATCCCTGAATTAATAACATCTGCAGTAGAGAATCAAATGCAGAAACATATGGAAGCAACCCAGTGCCCACCCAGAACAAGTGCAGAGGACACTAGCTCGGCTCAAAAACATGAATCAAGAGCGTCGATAGTAGAAAAGCAACAGCAGAAAGATAGAGAGGAAATCAGAGCGCAATTCTTTTCTGAAACAAAGTGAATTAGAGTTGTTTTTTCAAGAAAGAGATATGCTAGAAATTGGAGTTGGTCTTGCCGATTAGTAATCATACATTTTAGAGAAAAGAGGACTGGGGAGATGGCTTAGTGGAATAAACACTTCCCTGGCAAGCGTATGGGCCTGAGTTCAATCCCCGGTTCTGCCAAAAATAAATAAATAAATAAATAAATAATAAACAAATAATAAGAACATTTTAGAGAAAAGAGTATGATTTTAATGGGCTTGCTTGTCCTTCCAAAAACTGGCTGCACCTCTGCATTTAGAGCATAAAGAAAGTTCCAAGGAACTATCATTCTCTAGAAGTACTTTCAGCCTCTATAACTTTCTTTCTTTTTTTGTGCTTTCAGGCTCTTACACCAGAACAGGTATCATTCTGTACCATTCATATGCAGCAGTATGAGGACCCACGAGGTCAGCGCCAAGCTGCTGGCTATGATTATGTTGGCTTCACCAATTCCTACTTTGGTAACTGATAAGGAGATCTCTTGGATCACAGAAAATTCACCTAGTGGGGAATATTGGGAGATGAAGGAGACAGGCGAGGGAGTTGGGGTGTTGAGATTGGTGTGTGTGTGTGTGCGTTTGTCAAAATTGCTTCAGAATATAAAATCAATAACTTGGCAAGTATAGAAGTTAAGCAAATTGAAGGAAAAAAAAGTCATGGAGTTATTTTGTAAGCAACTAGTCACCACTGAGTTCTTCTAGCATTTTTACATTTTAACTATTCTGCTGTGTTCTGCTTACCTTTATCATTTTTTTTGTGTGTTGTAAACCTAGAAGAAAGTATTTTTAAAATAACAATGTTAAATAAAGTATTTCTTACCCAATTGAGATTCTGTATTTCTGTGAATCACACCATTATCTAAATATGAACAGCTGATTGTACTGTAAAACAAAAGGCCATTGTAGAGGACATAATAAAATCCTAAGTGATTTACAGTTATTTTTTCAGTTTAAAATATATTTAAATAATTTTATTTCAAAATGAAAACAATATCTGGGGAGGGTGCAATGGTTTTTTCTTTCTTTTTTGCATTTTTTTAAAGTGCCAGTCACCATTTTATTTATTTATTCATTTATTTTTATTTATTTATTTTGTATTTTAGGGAAGGGTCTACAGAGTGTTCAGGATCTCACCACTAGATCTGACTCCTAGTGATCCACCTGTTTACAGCCTTCCAAGAGCTAGGATTACTGGTGCACGCTGCCAAACCCATTCTCAATTGATATCTTAGTGCACCCCAGGGACAGGGCTGGCAAGGCAGGCCTCAGGGATTTAACTCCTGATCCTTGTGCTTTCTTGAAGGCACTAAAAGTGCCTGCAAGATAAGATTATAACACATGTGAATCTGATTTATTTCACTTAGGCATATGTTCTCTATTTGCATCCATTTATTTAGACAAGCTTCAAATCTATCTTTTCTGTAGCTGAGTCATCTCTATTGTATAAAAATAAGACATCATTTTTTATCTATTCCTCAATTTATGGGCATTTAGATTGTTCCCAAGATTTACCTATGACAAATTGAGATGCTTTAAACATGGATTCACACATATTGCTGTGGTATGATATTTTCAGTTCTTCTGGAAAAGTACCTAGAAGAAGAAAAGCTTGGTTGAATGAGACCTCCAATCCTAGTTTTTTGAGATATTTCCACAATGATTTACATAGTGGTTATACCAGTCATGCTCCCACCAACAGTGGAGAACGATTCCATTTTCCCCAGATTCTTTGCAGAATTTGGTATTGATGATAACCTTTATTTGTGGGGTGAGATGGAATCTCAGTGTTATTTTAATTTGCATTTCTGGAATGGTCAATTATGTTAAATTTTTTTTCATATATTACCTTACCATTTGCATTTTTGCCACTGAGAATTTTGCATTCATCTCATAGACTCACTTTTGGATTGGATCTTTCAATTTTGGGATCTTAATTTTTAAAAAAAAATCTTTGTATGTTCTAGATAAAAGTCCTTTTTGGGGGGAACAGTCAGCTAATATTTTTTTCCAATTTATGGGGTTTCTTTTTACTCTGTTGGTGATTTCTCCTAGTCTATTAAAAGGAATAGTTAATCATTAAATTTTTCTTCTTTTTAATTTTTGAGCAATATTTCATGCTTTTATCTAGTAATGTGAACAACTAATTGGAAGAAAACAATATGCACTGTAAAAGCCATTGTTAAATTTATATTATCTTGTTCAGTGAAATTCCGTATAATTTCTATGTTTTGAGTTTCCACATTGAAAATTACAGTACTATGGATAAGGAAATTGAACTGGATATCAGAAAATGGAAAGATACCCCTTATTCTTGGGTAGGAAGAACCAATACAATGAAAATGGCCATACTTCCAAAGCTATTGTGAATATTTAATGCAATTATAATCAAAATTCCAATAGCATATCTCACAGAATTATAAAAAACAGTCCTAAAATTTGTTTGGAACCAGAGAGACTTAGAATAGCAAAGGCACTTCTGGAGGACAAAGGCAATGCAGGGGACACCACAATTGCTCACTTGAAATTGTACTATAAAGCTACTATGTTAAAAACAGCATGACACTGGCTAAAAACACAGACCCAAGGATCAATGGAACAGATTAAAAATACATAAACAGCTGAAGACATACTCATCCACCTTGCTTTTGAAAAAGGTGCCGAACACATTCATTGGAAGAAAGATGGCATATATGGTAAATGGCTCAGGGAAAACTGGCCCCACACCTGTCAGAGATTACAGTTAGACCTATATGTTTCATCATGAGCTAAACTAAATTCAAAATGGATCAAAGATCTGAATATTAAAACAGAAACATTAAATCTTCTAGAAAATAGAATATTTTCTGGAAGACAATACTCTGGAAGACATTGATGTGTGCAAAAGCTTCATGAATAAAACACCAATCACACAGGAACCATAACAAAGAATCAACAACTGAGTCCTCAGCTTACTAAAAAGATTTTGCACAGCAATAGAAACCACAAATAGAGTGAAGAAACAACCAACAAGGTGAGAAGAATACCAGCTTTTCTTCAAAGAAAGGATTACATCAAGAACACAAAGGAAAGAAAGAAGAAAAGAAAGAAAGAAAGAAAGAAAGAGAAAGAAAGAAAGAAAGAAAGAAAGAAAGAAAGAAAAGAAAGAAAGATCATACTTTCCCAATCTACAGATCCAATCCAAAAATGGGAGCCTGAAATGAATACACACTACTCATATGACGAAATACAAATGACAAATTAATATATTAAATGTTCAATGTCACTTGCTTTTAAAGAGTTGCAAGTTAGAGCACACCAATATATTATCTCTTCATAGATAGCCTAATATCAAGAAATCAACAAACAACAAATGCTGGAGTGGTTGTGAGGAGAAAGGGACCACTCTTTATTGTTGGTGAGAGTGCAGACTGGTGCAACCACTGTAGAAAACCAGTGCAACCAGTGCGGAAATTCTTCAAAAACTTATGATTATACGTTCCATTTAAGCCAGTCATTCCCCTTTGGGTACCTTCCTAGAAAAAGTAAACACACTGTATCACAGCAATATATGTGCACCAATGTTTATAAAAGTACAACTTGTAATAGTTACATCATGGAAAAAACCTTAATGCCAAACAACTAAGGAACTCATATAAAAGATGTGGCCATTTTATACAATCATGTACTACCACTCAGCCATGAAGAAGAATGGAGACTTTTATTATTGGTAAATGGGTACAATTTAAGACCATACTCTTAAGTGAAGCAAACCAGACACACATGTGTAATCATGTTTCCATAGTGTGAAAAGATAAAAGATTAAATAATATTTAAAAGGTAAACTAGATATTGTAAAATAGGAAGAAATTTCAAATGGAATAAAACTTGGAAGGAAGGAAGGAAGGAAGGAAGGAAGGAAGGAAGGAAGGAAGGAAGGAAGGAAGGGGAAGGAAGAAGTAAAATACACAAACAACAAAACCTGTATTTGTATAACAGTTACGAAAGTTATACTACTCCTAATTGCTTTTATTTTATTTTTCTTTTTTTCATAATTTTATTGATAAACAGATAGCAATGAGAAAGTTTCAAATCAAATTCCAAGGACAGTTTCAATAACTAACACACTGCATACATTCTTCTTAATGGCTAATTGCTGTACAAGATGTGGACTTGAGATCCTATTTACAAACACCATTAGAACAAATCATTCTATTCATTAAGAGAATGTAACTATATATCTATCCCATCCAC